GAGTGATGCACATTTATCAAAATCACTTTCTAAAATATATGCGTAAAATAACATTCAAAACACAATAGTACTTTCATAAAATACTAGTACTTTATATATGAAAATACGTATAAAACATTGATGAAAACACTTGAAAACTGTGTATGCTCTGTGATCACAGTATCCATTTACCTCAGGTCCGATGCAATCAACTTAAGCTCTCTCTGTATTGTATAAGAGTCTCCCCCTATATTTTTCTCAATTTTCTCTAATCACTCTGATAGAGTATCCCCTTATAAATACTTCAATTTTATCTTTTCACTCAGGCAGAGTCTTCCCATATATTTCTTTTAAGTCCTACTTGCAAAACATGCTACTTTAACTCCAATAGAGTCCCAATTTAATTTCTAAACTTTTCTCTAAAAAACACAGCAAAGTTTCGAGATGTTTTTGAGTAATATCTTATGCTTGCAAGCTTTCCCATGATTGGTCGTGAGCTTTCACTCTCATTTCATCTTCTTTCTTTGGTTTTCTCATCTCTTTCTTCTTCCTCTCTCTTCTTCTCACAATTTAGGCAAAGTTTCCTCAAGGAAAAATTCCTAAATTCCTTCAATTTCCCTCACTTTTGTTGGGTTTCTTCCCTTTTTCTCTCTTTTTTCTCTTCTCTTTTTCTCTCTTCTTTCTCTCTCTAACCTTGCTTTCTCTTAACTCTAGAATGCTTTTCCCTTCTTCCCACACCCTTATTTATAGGGGAGGGGCGTCCATGTAAGTTAACAAGCATGGGAGAGGCGATAAATGTGATTGGCCACTTAAACCTCCTCAAGCTTCATCTTTATCCTTATCTCTTTCTTTCCTTACCCTTTAAGTAATTCTAGAGTATTCTAATCTTATCCACACTCTTCCCATGTCCTATCTAGTCCAGGAGCTTTCATACCAAATTTGAGCTCCATTCGATATGTTTTTAGTGGCTTAAGCCCACCTAAACCCATATGGCCCAATACTACACTCCATGCACATGCCTTCACTTCAAATAGCCATAACTCCCTCGATTTTTATGTGTTTCATCCCATTTTACCTTCACTTTCTCATTGTGTTTTCACCTACTTACTGACAAAGTTTTGGCTCAAAATGACCACACTAGCCCATCTAAGGTCCACATAAGCCCCAAAAGGTCCAAACTGCACTCAAAGTTTGGCCCAAGCTCATACCCTTACTTCAAAACTCTATAACTTGCTCAATTCTTAATCTTTATGGGAAAACTTATGTTTCACGTGTTCCTCAAGCAAGCAGCTATCACATGGTTTTAGGTTGTCCTTCATGTGCATGTCTCTCGGGTTTGCCCTCATTTCTCCTGATTTTTCTTCTATTGACATTTTTATTTTTCCACATAGTTTTTCCTCAATATATTGGCTAGTGCTCAACCGAATTTGAGTCTCAAATTCCAAGTATTTTGTTCTTAGGACATAAATTAAACTAAAAGGGTCAAAAAGAGCTCTTTAGGGGATTTTATCTCTCATTCGAGATTTTCTCCCGATTCTTCATCCATTATTTTCTCACTTTTCCAAAGCATTTTTCTTACCTTCTATAAAGTCGTTCTAGTCTCGAGAAGTGTTCTCAGCTCTAAAAACTTAACTTTCCTTTGTGAGAGAAAAACTCTTCTTAAGGAATTCTGGTTATCTGAATCTCATCGTTTTCGCTTCGTTTGATTTAAAACTTAGTTTTAACCATAAAATTTAGTCTTTGACTTAAATAGCCATACAAAATACTAGAAATTCATCTAGTGAAAATTTGGGTCATATATGTTTCTTGCTAGGTCGAGAATTCTGTTTGGTGGATTCAGACTCGTTGTTTGGGATTTGAATAGGGATAGAGTAGCTTGGAGGACTATTACTTCGCAATCGTTTCCTTTCATTTTTCAGAAGTTCATCAGTACTAACCCGCTTCTTGCCTTCCACTGGCTTAGTTTGTCCTCAGCAGGTATCGTGTCATTTAGAGAAAAAAAAATTCTTGAAAAAATTTTCTCTAAATTTGTATTTATTATTTTCTTTAGAAAACCTTTGTAAGTACCATTAAAGAAAATAAAAATAGTTGAAATACTTCTTGATTCAAAATAGAAAATCATCTCATAAACTCAAATCGATGATAGCTAGAGAGAGCTACACCTATTTTCTTCTTTTCAAGTACGTCCACATAATCTCCACTCACATTTTCCATTTTCTTCATTTTTGCCTTTATTCAAGATCTCTCTAGGCTTTATTATGTTGCTTTAACTTTTGTTGCAATTATTCTTTCAAATACTAACTTAAGAAAATGTTAGTATAATAAATTAAGTGTTTGCTGTTTCCTCAAAATCAACGCATATATTCCAACAGAATTATTAATTAAACTTCTCTAGCTGATAGCCATGTGATTATTTATGAATACAACTTTACAAAAGTTGTATTGTTTAGGGACATGTTATTCTACATGCAATAACACTTATACACACAAAATCAGAAAATGGGAATCTTATGGTATTGGAAAGTACGTCCTCAAATAAGATTTGAGAAGATATATTGAATATAAATATTTATCTATAATTAAATATATAAAAGCATATATTAGAAATATTTTTATGACACGATCTGTTGACTTCATTTTCATGAAACAGTTTCTTCAATATTAGAAAGAAAATAATTAAAATTTATTGTCTTTATTGTATCTTAATCATCATAAATCAATGTGAACAAAAGTTTAAAATACAAATTATTTATAAAACTTAGCAAATGACGAAATCTTTAACTGTAAATGCACACATGAGCATTGATTAAGAGAATTTCCTTTTTGGTTGTCTGGACAACTCACCTACATAGTCCTGGCCGGCCACTTTTTTCTTCTTTTAATTGATTGATATTTTCAGTTTTCATTTAGTTTTAGTTCGTGAATTTTAAATATATTTAATTATATTAAATGTTCTATATTTATAGATTATATGTAATTTACTATATCTTATATATATAATATTTAAATATAATATATTATGTACCTAAGGGAGGTTTTAATGGAAATTTTTAAATGATTTAAATTTGAATTATATAAATTCTGATAATATTTATTTTAAAAATTTTATTACTATTTAATAAATGTTAATTTATATTTATGTATATTAATAGCATTTAAATTATTATTTATACATAACATTTAATAAAATTAATTATTTTATAATTAATTCCATTTAGTTAATTGTTAATTAACCCTAAAATATGTGGTCCGGTTCTGTTCAATTCTCAGTTACTGCTAAAACTGCAATTAACTGAATAGTGCACACACCATATGATGAAAACTCTGCATGCCCTTTTTCCTTTTTTTTTTTTTTTTTGAAAAAATAATTTAAATTTGCATATATATATATATATAAGGCAATTTTCCATATGAAAGACAGAAAAGTGAAAAGTAATATGCATAAGCGTTAAAGAAGTGTTTTACAGGTGAAGAGCCACATCCCTGTGGTGCTTATCTAATGATAACTCTTGACAGTTTTTATTAATCTCATCCAGTCTTGTCTTCAAATATGGCAGATCAAAAATGAATCCCCTGTTTTCATCTTCTCCCATTTCCTCAATCTTTTCTTTTCCCATTTTCATTCTCCATGATTCCTTCCCTGAAAATTTCAATTCTCTCCCACCACAAAACGATGCAAAACCCAACTCAAGTCCACCGCTCGTTCTGTTCTCGTAAATATTATTACCCACACCACCAATTTCATTTTCATCGCTACCACCTACCGTTACGCCTGAACAAATGCTGACACATTTATACTCTTTCTCTCTTGTCTCCAAATCACATTGCCTTCTTTCATAACCAACATTTCTCACCAAGTTATGAATCCCATTCCCCAAATCTTGCACCACATCTGGGTTCTTGTGTTTCTTTTGGACACAGCCTAATGTGATAGCATTTTCACACTTGTCAGCCTCAAACCCGCACTTTGAACCTGGATTTGTAGAATGCAAGGAAGCGAGTGATAATTTTCGTTTTGCAATCATTTGGACTGTTGGTCCTAAATCTTTAACGAATAGCATTAAGCTTTCTTTATAACGAAACTCCTCCAAATTCACCTGCACAATAAAATAGACTCTTTGGATTAATAACACAAGGAGAAAAAAGAAATTCAGCTCAGGAAAATGCAAAACAACACGCACTCCGTTATGTGCTAAATACATCAGACCCATGACCAACTTTCCTGTATAACATTTGATTTCTAACTCTTCCTAAATTATTGCTCAGCATCTACGAGAGAAAATAGTTATTCCCATGATGAAGTACGTAAAGGAGAGCACCTCTAGTTTTTCTTCTTTTCTTTCATTAAGGAGAACATGTGAAGTTTTCTTAAAAGGAGATAGTTTTACCTTTCGTTAAATTGCATAAAAATAGATAAAACCAACTACATCAAAATAAATATTTTAAGAATAATTTAAATTATTAGGAAAATTTAAAAATTATAATATTATTAATTATTTGCAATAGTTACTTTTTGGTATACAATTTTTTAAACCATTTAAAACTCTACCAATTTTACAATATATGATAAATTGAACATAATATCACATGTTACATGGATGATATTAACTCCAGAAAATTTCATCAAATTCTATGTTACTTCATATTAAAATTATTTTTAGTGAACATCATTTTCACAACAATTTTACTCACTTGCAGCAAAAGCCACAACTGGACCAAATAGGCTCTATAAACCGGAATAAATGCTAAAATGAGGCGTGCACGCTTACTTAAGAAATAAGGATTGAAGAAAAGAGAGCATACATGTATTAGTGATTTTGAGGCATCACAAATTGTTGAAGTAGCTGACTTAGTCTTGTTGAGGAAGGATGTCCAAGGTATATAGGTTGACCGTCGATCTGCCCGAGAAGAACTGGCTCTTCTACCATCTTTCATACCTGTTAGAGAAAAGCTAATATAAATGGCTAATATAAATGAGTCGGCCAAAGTTCTAGACCTAGACTTGAAACAAATAACACTCTCCCCCCCTAATGGGTTTCCCAAAAATTCAAGGAAGCTTAATCATAACTGTAAGGTAGAAGAAAAGATTCAACCAGAGCCATGAAGGTTATACAATCCAGTTCAAGAACAGTTTAAGTAATCAATTGATAGCTATGACTTTCAAATGAAAAATGTGGTCAAGGATCTACATCATTTAGTTTTTAGAAAGATCATTAAAGAAATAAAGCATCATGAAGCAAATCTATGAATACCTTTCAAAACCATCTAAAAAATTTTCAATTCAGAAACTTGGACCAGAAGCTAGTCTTTACCAGAAAGAAATAAGCCATCCAGAAGTAAAATGATTTTGATATCCTCGAAAACCATCTAAAAACTTTTCAACTTAGAAAGTAGAATCAGAAGCCAGCCCTTACCAGAAAGCATTTCATAATCTCTTGTATTAAAATACGTTGCACTAGCAGAGCACTCAAGATTCCCTTTAGGACCTCTCCTGACATTTATCGAACCACTTGATGAACATAGCATGCTTTTTGATGATTCATTAGTCACCAAGCTATTGAATCTCATATTTGTAGGAAGTTTTGGAGTTGAGTAATTTAATGACCTTCGAGCTTCACCAGGGCGCATCCTACCATTTTTTCGCCTTGTTTCTGAAAATTCAGATTCAAAGTTTTCTGGATCCATTTTAAGAGCATGGAAAACCTTTTTCGCAAGTTCATGTATGGCACGCGCCTACAAAATGACAAGTTTCATTCAGCTGAGGGGAAAGAAAAAGAAATTGATTTACGTTGCAGTGAAGCCATAAATTCCAAAAGTAACTAAAATTTGATGGTCATACCTGCCTGAAGTAAATGGTAGATGAGGAATTAAAGTGCATAGCATTTTTGGATATTAAAAATGCATCATGCTGCATGGTAATCCACAAAGAGTGAGTCAGAAAACAATCAGTACTTATGTGCAATTTGTATCGATCACACTTACTGACTTGATTCGGCTCCAAATCATCAAATCATAATGATTTACTTTAATAGATTATATGCGGATGGTCAAACATGTCAAGTTAATATTTTAAAGTTTGGAATGCTAATTAGTATGGAATCCTGGATATGGATGACTCTAATACCATTAACCAGTACATGATCATCACCCTTGGGAAAGCCAGAAGCAATTACGTGCAGTGCAACAACTGCCACAGGTGCAAATCTATAGTCAGTTGTTACATAAATCAGGTTTCATCAAATATTTAATAAAAGCAAGAGATATATATGAAGAAAGAAATATGCCGACTTAATAGAGCATGATATTGAATTAGTAGCTTATGCACTGAACAGAAACAATATTTGCCTAATAGAAAATATAGAATCGTTACGAACGAACGAACCTCAAATTGTTCAAGACTTGAATACATTCCTTCATGAAGTTTAGCTCTCATGGTGCCAAAGTCCATGGGTTCTTTGATGATCTCATAGTAGTCCTCGACCTTAATCAAGCCAAGAGCTCCATCAGTATGACAATTTGAAAAAGGAAGAAGGACTGCCCCATGATATAAAATGTTGGAAGTAACAAGCAAATAGCAAACCTCGTCAGGATCAACTGGTTCAGCAAATATCTCGTATGTGTCTCTCCTGAATATAAAAGAGAAAATTGAAGGAGAATCAATCTACATGGAAACATTGTGCCTTTAACACAATAACAATGCTAAACAATTTTTGATAGATAACTGTGTAGACACTGTTTGTCTGAATATATTTTAAAATAAAGCTCACCTCTGTAGAATGTCAAGGATAAGCTCAAGTACACGCTTTCTTCGCATCCATGAGGTAGATTGCGTAGTAAATGATTGCTCTGCTGGAGAAAAAACAATGTCATGGATAAAGATTTAACCATTCTAACTACTAGTGTTATATTTTAGTCCACAGTGGTCAAATTGAAGAAAGAAAATGGGGTCAACCAAGTCGGGTAGCATCATCATCTTCATGTTTAGGAATATCCTGGTCCACTGAAAATAGTTGATCTGGTACAAGAAAGTGCAAAAGGTATAAAGTAGCTTCCTGAAATTCATAATAAGAGATTGTCACCCATTAATGAAACAAAACCCTTACTGTTGTTACCCTGATGATCTTCCTGATTTGGTTCTTCACCACCCTGCATGTAATTTGAAATTATGATTTCCATGAGGCATATACTTCTATTCCACAAACAGCCCCTTGGAATATATTTTTATTACAGACAAAGGAAAAGGCCAATTTGGTCATGAAACTGATGAATAACCATCACTAGTACACATTCTAGTGATCAGATTTGGCGCTATCTATACATATTCTACTATAGTGGCAAGGGAGTCAGTCCAAGCAAAAGAACAAGGATTTTATACAAGCAATGCCATAATACAAGAACCTGGACCGACCAAATTGAGAGAGAAACCATTTATACAAACACCAGTCTTTCAGTTTTTAATATCTATCAAAGAAAAAGACCTTTTCTCTTTATTTATTTGTCTTTTTAAAAAAGAAAACCCCAGCAAGCCATAAATTTGATTGAGAATGTTTAAAAGAACAGAAGAACAAGAGATACACCTGGGGAGATTGAGCTTCCACATCTTCAAGAGGCTTCAGCTTTCGCTTTTTCCTAGCTCTGGTACGGGAGGCTGGTCCTTTAGGCTGAGAGCGAGAGTGATGATGCCTCTTTGGCTTTGGCGTAGCACACACGCGCCTCGATTGTTGGGCCTTAAACGCATCTAGTGCTGAAATTCGCGGGCTTCTCCTCTGTCCCTCTCTCCATTTTGATACATCTGCTACTTTTCTTCGTCTATCACCATAAAAAAACACATAAACATTCTCCAATTACTCTCTACTATTAGCATAAATGAGAAAAGAAAAGAAATTTCTCCGAAGTTTTTCCCTCCGCATGCACTGGAAAGCAAATGTAGCAAAACCCACCTGGACATTGTTACAAATAGAGAAGAAACGTCAAACCCAAATCGGGTTTCCTGCTTCCTACGCCATGGGAGGTTGCAGCAGAAAATGCAAAGGTATGGGGTTGTTCATGAGAGCTTTATACAAAAAGGATTTAATGCATTAAGAGTTACAGCTAGGAAGTGAATGAGTTTTTTGTTTATAAGAGATATGGGTATCGTCTTCACAAGGAAACGCCATTAAAGCTCTTGAATGAATTACCCTGTGTTCAGTATCAGCTTCCTATTTGGTTCTTCCTAAAATTAATAGAAATAATATACTCCTACGCCCTACAAACAAAGAAAAAAGCAATGTTAATCTTCTTTTTTGATCAAACAAAGCAATGAAAATTTCTTACCAAAAAGAAACGGGAAGCGTTTTAAACAGAGGATCTTTATTTATTTTTTTTAAAAAAAAGCCCAAAACAAAAAAGCTCAAGTATTTGAAGGAGCTGCAGTTTGAAGTATTGACCCTCTTGTCGGAACTTGGAAACAGAAGACTCTGCTAAATGACAGAAGGAAAATCACGACGCCTGCTGGCCGCAAGCGTAAATGGCTAATAAAGGCTGAATTTTATATTTTTATTCTTCGAAATAATTTTTTTCCTAATCGGGTAAACTAAAACATCTAAACAAGTATTTAGGATGTATTTCATTTCTCTGTCAAAACTATAAAATGTTTTTAATTTAAAATAAATGCTGTTTATATTTGGTTATTTATTATCTTATATTATATTATCAAGTTCTCATCTGAAATGATATAATTTAACTAACAGATGGTTGAAGTGAAATGTAGAAATTGGGTATTGCCTGAAAAAAGTCACTAATCTTAATAACTATTTTGCACTAATAGTATCTGTTCCACTAGTTGCTCATCAAAGTGGCATGTTTAGTAATTTTTTGTATCTTCCTAATGACAAAGACCTTATAATCATTTGCTTTTTTGCCTTAATTAACGTCATTATCCAGTTTAAGCATTCCTACACAATAACTTTATATAACTATAGTTTGTAGAAGATTTCACAATGCACCATTTCTAGTAAATTTTATAATTGTAAAGTACCAAATTTTAAAATTTAAAAGTTAAAGTCAATAATTTTAAATGTTATTTCCATTTGACATTGAAATGTAATGATTATCATACTTTAATTTTATATCCGTTGAAAATAGGCAAATTGAAAAATAAAAAATAATAAAAATGGAGGATTAAACAAAATACTGGCATACTTAATTATGATTATGATAAATGGTAAAACATATTAGATAAAAAAAAGTTTTGTAATAAACTTGAAGTATGGAGACCACAAGAGCAAAGAATCCCGAACCGGAATAAAAAGTAACAAGATTGGTAAGCTTGAAAATGAATAATTATATATTAAGAAATTTTAATTTAGCTCAAAAATAGATGACTCTAATTGTTTTTTAATTAAATATCATTGTCTTGGCTTTTTCGAATTCAAATACTGCTTTTTCTTAGTCTTAGTTGAGAAAATATTTAAGTTAAAATGTTCATAAAAGAATTATTTCATTTTAAGAACCAAAAATTTTTTTATTGAGTTTTAAAATTATTAAACAATAAACCTTAAACACTTTTTACCTAAATATTTTTAAACCGATTTTACGGTATTATCATAAAGAACATTTTTAAAAATATATTTTTTTTTAATTTGAAGAACTACAAAATGAAAAAAAATAATAACAATAAAGAATTGAGAGATGCATCGGTGGATGTTACAAGTAATACATCACCATGACACATGGTAGTTGATGTTCACAACAGATATTTGCATATAATATATCAACTTAACACATACTAAGTGATGGGCTATGTGCATATGTTGTGGATATGTTGTACGCGTAACACATTAGTGCAACAAATAGAAAGTCCATGTATCGCTCCAAATAAATTAGTACAAGACACGAAGACTTTACATATGCCGCATGCCACGAATTAGCGTAATACACAAACTTCACATGTGGAGCATGCATTTGTTATCAACAAATGATTTGAGATTTGATTTTTCAGGGTCTAGTTTGCTAATTTGAGATTTGATTTTTTTGCGATCCAATTTGCTTCTAATTCACCAAAATCGATCCTCAATTAACAACTAACTATTATTGAAGTCCATAAATAACATGATTTTTCTAGGTCTCTAATAAAGATTTGCAGTAAAAATTAAAGAAAAAATTTTATATTCCTCATGTAAAAACTTGAAAAATCTAAAATTGTACTCATACTTGTGTTATCCACTCTTTGGAAGGGATACTCTTCTTACAAAATTTGTCTTTATTGTAAAGGAGGCAGAAGAAAATTCTTGAGTAAGTTTTTGAGTTATACGTCATATTCAACTAACTCATGTAAAATTTTTAAAAAAATACTAGAAAAACTCAAGTAGTGTACTTGATGAGAGAGCATAAGCACATGATTAATGGCGAAACCTCGATAAAATTGTGTTTTTATTCACTTTTCCTTCTCAATTTTATTTATTTATTAATTTTATTTTGAATTAAATTTTAACATTCTTGCTTTTATTATTGATTAAGAGGAGAATATAAAAATATTTTTTAATTAAAAAAAAATTAAAAACTTAATTTATATCTTTTATTGTATTGCTATAGACCTGCCGGCTAATAATTAATATTAAAGTCTAGGTTTCCAATCTTGCTTTTAACTTGATTTTTAGAGAAAGATAATTATAGTAACCATTCTAGGTGAAGTTCAATTCACAAATAAATATCTTTTGTTTAGTAATTATCATTATAACTATTGGAAGACATGTTACGGATTATGATGTTTAAAAGATAATACTAGAAGATTCACATATCCTCTTTAGAAAAAAAATAGGAGACGATGTTATTATAAAGAAGGAAAGTGAATAGGGTAGGTGGAAACTAAATGACAAAACTATGAATCTTTGTATTATAAGCTAGATGCACATGAGTTCATTATAATATCTATAGTTGAATCTATTAAGAAAATATGACATAAAATTAGAAGTAAATCATGAAAAGATCAACAGATTAACATGTTGGTCTATATTATAGGGTGGTTGTTTATGATGAATGATAATGAAACTACATATGATATGTTTCTACATTTTTTTTTTTTGTTGAAATTATTAATACTTTAAAATCTTTTTGGTAATTCTTATGCTAATAAAAAGTTGATATTAAACAAATTTTTTTGTGCTTACCCAAGTCATGGGAAGCTAAATTGATGATGATTCAAAAAGCTAAAGATATCAATAAACTTAGTTTAGATGAGTTGTTTAGTCAGTTATATCTCATGAAGTGACCTTGAAGAGAAGAGGAAAAGATTATCATAGCAAGAAGAAAACGATGGCATTTAAATCTTCTATAGATAACAACAAAGATGAAGAAGAAAGTGAAAAAAAGATGAGGAACTTGTTTTTCTCTTTAAAAGATTCAAACAAAATTTATGGGGGAAAAGATTCACACCTAAAAGAGAACCAAGTAAAAGAAATCAGTCATATGCTTACATGGAACAAACCATGGAAGATAAAAGCTAAATTTATGCAAATAAAGAAGTTCTCCAATAAACCTACAAAAGGGGGCAAGATAGCTACATGAATTGATAACAAGGACAATAGTTTTAAAAGTAAGAGTGAGTAAGAGATAACCAACTATTGCCTTACAGTTTTCAAAGATGATGAAAAATAGGTACGCGCCAATCTTGCTTTTTCTTATGATGAGTTATTAGAAGCATTTAAAGATTATACAATGAATTAGTAAAAGTTAAGAGCAAAAGATACTGCACTTAAAAAATTAGGATCTCACTCTTAAATGAAATCAGTATGGTAAAGAAAGAAAATAAAATTGAATGATTCAAAAATTGAAGATTTTAATAAATAAGAACACCTTCTTGAAATAAAAAATTAAGAATCTAATTAATATACTTGCTAAGTTTGACCAAAGAAGATTCTTAATTTTTAAACATAATTCTCTTAGTTAAAGAAGTATGTATGATAAAGCCAAATTGAGTTATGATGCATCCAAGAAAAGATATATATCTTAAAATCTTCTTTATAAAATCTTCAAACTTAGATAACTTCTAAGTAACTTATAATTATTATGGAAAGAACTTGAAATATTTCTCATTCATGCTTAGTTACAATTAATGTTTAGTTTGAGATGGAAAAGATTTGACTTATAAGAAGAACCATTATTGTCACAACAATAACATGTTATAGGGCTTTATAAAAAAATATTTTATTATTAATTTTATTTATTAATAGAGTACGAAAGTGGGTGATACATATTGTATAGTATATACTAATTATTTTAATTATAATTTACATGTAATTTTAAGAATTTAATTACTGCGCAAGTGTGGGATTATATTATTCGTTCATAATTATAAAAGAGTTCGAGACCTT